AACGGTGAAGTTTCGCCAGTAATTACAATCAGCATCATCAGGCAACATCTAGAATTGTGGAGAAATCCTCCTGTTTCGTTCCTAAAATAGAGGCATAGATGTGATGACATCACTTATGAGCCCTTCCTTGTGCTGCCTAGATCAACACGAGACGTTTTGAGGGATTTGTGCTTTAATTAAACGCTGTATAAACTACAGGCTGCAATTGGCGACATTGTTATATATACACAAATCACGGTTTCTCTCCCTCTCTACTGTACCCGAAAAAGGCCAATTCCCTGAAACGTTATCTCACTACCATACTTTCAGCTAGAACAGCTATCACAATCAAAGCCATAAACGCCTACAATAGGTGTCGTAGTCTGGTTCTGCGAGCCCCAGATATTAACAGTGAATTCAAGAGGATTATCAAGTTTGCCTTGGTCTGGGCTCTGCGAGACTTAAACTCAAGTGCTTTTTTATTTTACCAGGTAAGGTCCACCCCCAAGTTATGAATCTCTTTTTCAGAAGCGACATGGCTACAAATTATAGCTCATCTAAGTGGTTTATCATCACGTGAGAATGTATAGCAGCCAAATACTCGAAAGGCATGATGTTGATGCTAAATCTGGAGGGGGAAAAAACCCGGTGGGGACCCGGTGAAAAATCCCCCACGACCACGGGGAGAGAAACACACAAACTTCAAATATACAGCAGCAGACGTCAGGCTTGGGGTCGAACCCACGATCTTCTGCATACCAGACGCAGTTGTAAACATATCCTTGCCACTGCGAGCCCTTGACATTAACACAATACGTACAGTACCCCAAGAATGCAAAGTGTGGCTCTATGAGCATTATACAGTTCAAACAATACACCGTCAGGACCTCTTAAATATGCCTTGCTCTGGTTACGTGGGATACATATCTAAGATTCTTAAAGTTGGCTTAGTCCGTCTCTATGAGCCTCAAGAATTATAAACACGAATCCTAAGAATCCATTAATTTTGCCTCGCATTGCCTCCTGGAGTCTCTCAACAATTGACAATGAACCGTGAAATTCCTCACCGTGCCTTAGTATGGCCGAGAAGCACTCCTTACATTAACATCGACTCCTTAAGAATCCTTAAAAGGTGCCTCCAGCCATTACAATCTGAACTCTTAAGACTTAAATTTTTGTGTGTTTTCATTGTTGTTGTTCTGAAATTGGCCTCGTAGTGCTTCTGGAATTAACCAAAACGCTCCGGCATAATCTCTTCTAAAAGTCCAACGTTCCGTTTGTCCATCAACTAAATGATTTGAGAGCCTTTACAGAAGGCTTGAATCAAAAAGTTATAGAAAGTGGACCCAGATGTGGGTGGGAGGGGGGGTAAAAAGTTGATCCAACAGATTTCCAACAATTGTCGGCCCCACAACCACCAAAAAAAATATTTTGCAGGCATATGCGCGAAATTCTAACGAGTTTAATAAGCAGCGGGTTGTGTTTATTTGAGTTACAGTACAGCGATGACATACCAGTCAACCCCTTATTAGTGCCTACTTTATTACAGGCCAATTCCTATCATATTGGTCATCCCTTGCCCCTTTTAAATCTCAACGTTCATCCTACAAAATTCCATCAAAAGAGAGAAACACAAACAAACCCACTTTTGTTGCCCGTAATGAAACGGCCGTACGCCATATGGACCTGAAAACTCAATTTCCCTGTACAAGAATACAGGGTTAAACCGTATCGGTTGACACGTATGATGTAGTAGTGTAGTGTATAGTGTAGCGTTTAGTAGTGTAGTTCATACCTGTCAACCCCTTATCAGTGCCCTTATTATTAGCAACCAATTCAAACCTTATTGGTCACCCCGTGCCCCTTCATAAATCTCAACGTTCATTCTACAAAGTCCCATTCACAAGGAGATAAACACAAACAAATAGACTGATATGATTATTTTTTTGTTGCCCGTAATGAAACGGCTCTACACCATATGGACCTGAAAACTCAATTTCCCTGTACAAGAATACAGGGTAAACCATATTGATTGACACGGTTGTGATATGGCATTGGCGCATTGAACACACAACAACTTGTAGTCCTCAACAGAGGTGGTTGTTTTCGATTTAAAGCTTTCGTGACTGCAGGGATTCATCCTCTTGGTTCTTTCGGTAAAGTCACGTAGAATGGAAATAATAAAAAATAATACAAATAAATGTTTTATTTTTATTATTTTATTATTTCCACTCTACGTGACTTTACCTAAAGAACTATATTTTATTATGTTTTATTTTTATTATTTTATTATTTCCATTATACGTGAGGTGGTCGTTGTTGTTTTTGGCGAGGGTGGTGTTGTGTTAGATCGAGTAAATATATAATCGTGGTCTTTAAATCCGCCACCAACACGAGAAATGTAGTACACGCGCCAATTTTTGTTACTTTAGCCCACCACGTGTACAGCTCGAGTAGCAACCGTGACGCTACTCCCTTAAATAACAACAACCGAACAACCAAACAACCATACCAACAACCAGCTTCGTCAGGCGACAAGCCGATAGTTAACACTTATCAACCATAATACAGATTTTTTTTTGGGGGGATTCGATCGCGTTAAAATATAAATGTGTCGATGAACCCGCCACCACAAGCCAATGAGCTGCCAGATATGGCTGCAAGTTTGGTCGTACATGTTATGTATATAGTTTATTGTTACATTTGAATCAAAGTTCCTACGATTCATTGGCTACCACATTCTGATAAGCTCCCCCCCCCCCCCTCTCCTCCCCCCTTAACTTGTATTTAAGAGGTTCAATCTTAATTTTGGAGCTTTCGTGACTGCAGGAATTATTCTTTGTTTTTTTTCGGTAAAGTCACGTATAACGATAAAAAAATAATAAATTAAATAATAGCATACATTTTATTTAATTTATTATTTTATCTTTATACGTGACTTTACCAAAAAAAACAAAAAATTGTATTTAAGAGCTTGCATCTTGAATCCCTGCCTCACTTGATGCAGCAAATCTGGCTGTGACGGTCCCCCCTGATGACGGAGACTTGTGTTGCCTCCGAAACGTCGTGATTTTTATTTTATTTTTATTAATTTCATTTTTTTACCTACGTGACTTTACCGAAAGAACTAAGAGTATGAATCCTTGCAGTCACGAAAGCTTCACATCTAGAATCCTACGATAACTGTTGTTACATTGTATTTAATAACTTTATTTTGTTGATTTCTAAAACATATGGTTTAAGCCATGTTTCTTGCGGAAACGCGGAGTTGGCCCGATAACTTTAATCTAAATTGTCTCATTGTTGTTATTGTTTGACTTGCATTACACTGGGATTTTCGCACACAGCGTTGTAATACGTTTTTTTTTATTTTCTGGAAGATTTGCTGGTTTATCCAGGATGTTTCTGTTGCGCGTCGTCGCTTTAACATGTTCTGTTCATAGTTTGCTTGTTGCGGTTGCATCAGACTCACCAGGGTTATCTATACCTAATGAATGCAACTTGAAGGTTTGTGTCACGTAGACAGAACGTGATAATTCGTTACGAGTACAGCACCACCGGTCCGAGTTTCGACGTTTCGCTGCCAGGAACCACAACGTGCTTCGTCAGGCGACACAGCCAAGGTGTGCATAGTGCTGCTCCGCGTGTTAGTAACGCCAACTTGTTATACTTGAGAGAGAGACAATGTCAAGGAAGGGCGGTGTGGGACCGTCTTCCTCCTCCACCTCCTCCTTTGACACGCACCTGAGTCACTGACCATGCGCGCGTTGTTGTTGTTGTTCTAAACCCGCGCGCTCACCCTCACCACTCACCACCCACACTCACCACCACTCACCCTCATTCACCCTCATTCACCACCACTCACCCACCCACCTACACACTCACTCACCTACACACACTCACCCACCCACCCACCACTCACCTACACACACTCACCCACACTCACCCACCCACCCACCACTCACCTACACATTCACCCACCCACCACTCACCTACATACACTCACCCACCCACCCACCACTCACCTACACACACTCACTCACACTCACCCACCCACCCACCACTCACCTACACATTCACCCACCCACCACTCACCTACACACACTCACCCACCCACCCACCACTCACCTACACACACTCACTCACACTCACCCACCCACCCACCACTCACCTACATACACTCACCCACCCACCCACCCCTCACCTACACACACTCACTCACCTACACTCACTAAACCACCACTCACCCACCCCTCACCCACTACTCACCACTCACTCCTCACCACTCACCCTCACTCACCCATTCAGTCACCCCTCACCAACCACTCACCCACACTCACTCACCCACACTCGCTAACCCACCACTCACCCACCCCTCACCCACTACTCACTCCTCACCACTCACCCTCACACCCGCGCGCTCACTCACCCACACTCACTCGCCACTCACCCTCACTCACCACTCACCCTCACTCACCACTCACCCTCACTCACCACTCACCCTCACTCACCACTCACCCTCACTCACCACTCACTCTCATTCACCACTCACTCTCACCCCTCACTCACCCATTCACTCACCCATTCACTCACCCCTCACCACTCACCCCTCACCACTCACCCACCACTCACCCTCACCCCTCACTCACCCTCACTCCACTCACCCACCCACACTCGCTCACACCCACACACTCACCCACCCACACTCGCTCACACCTGCAATTCGATCTCCCGATGCCCCGGCGTGAACCCGCCGTTCACCTGCCGACGCCTGCCTTAGCCCGCATCCGCACGTTCATTTGCGTCGCCCGTGCCAGGCTAGGTGCACTCACGACGCCACGCGCGAAAGCGCAAACGCGGCGACGAGGAGGGCGGCGATTTCAAAACTTTTTAAATTATCGCGACCCACGCCGCGGCAGACGACAACAACAACAACCAAACAACAACAACCACCACCACCAGCCTCGTCAGGCGTTCTCGCTTAGCACGGCACGGCACGGGTGACGGCGGTGGAAAATCACCTGAGGCTGTCAGAACGACGGCGAGCAGAGCCCAGGCGATGACGCTGGAAACCCGGGTCCGCATGTTGGCAACACGCGAGTGAGGGGAGTTGGTGGTGAGGTTTGGGTAGATGAGGAAACGATAGCCGAGAAAGGGAGAAGATATAACTTGGGAAAAGCACAGGCGGCAACGGCGCACGGTAGCAGTGGAGAGGCGAGTGGGTGTTGGCGGGAAAATCGGAGAGGAGGGGGGTGAGAAGAGGGAGCTCTGAGTGGGGCCGCCGCGGGCGGGAGCTTATATAGGGAGGGGGTGGAGGTCGTGACGTAGAGCTCGAAGCCCCGCCCACAGCGTTGCGTGGGTGGGGCTTCTAGCCTGACGTGGGTGGGTGGATGAGTGGGTGGGTGGGTGGGTGAGTGGGTGGGTGGATGTGTGAGTGGGTGGGTGAGTGAGTGAGTGGGTGAGTGGGTGGGTGGGTGAGTGGGTGGGTGGGTGAGTAAGTGGGTGAGTGGGTGTGTGGGTGGGTGGGTGAGTGAGTGAATGAGTGGGGGAGTAAGTGGGTGAGTGGGTGAGTGAATGAGTGGGTGAGTAAGTGGGTGAGTGAATGAGTAAGTGGGTAAGTGGGTGTGTGGGTGGGTGAGTGAGTGAATGAGTGGGTGAGTAAGTTGGTGAGTGGGTGAGTGAATGAGTGGGTGAGTAAGTGGGTGAGTGAATGAGTAAGTGGGTGAGTGGGTGTGTGGGTGGGTGAGTGAGTGAATGAGTGGGTGAGTAAGTTGGTGAGTGGGTGAGTGAATGAGTAGGTGAGTAAGTGGGTGAGTAAGTGGGTGTGTGGGTGAGTGAGTGAGTGAATGAGTGGGTAAGTGGGTGAGTGAATGAGTGGGTGAGTAAGTGGGTGTGTGGGTGGGTGAGTGGGTGTGTGGGTGGATGGGTGAGTGAATGAGTGGGTGAGTGAATGAGTGTGGGTGAGTGAGTGAATGAGTGGGTGGGTGGGTGAGTGAATGAATGGGTAAGTGAATGAGTGGGCAAATTAATGAGTGGGTGAGTGAATGAGTGGGTTAGTGGGTGTGTGGGTGAGTGAATGAGTGGGTGAGTAAGTGGGTGAGTGGGTGAGTAAGTGGGTGTGTCGGTGGGTGAGTGGGTGTGTGGGTGGATGGGTGAGTGAATGAGTGGGTGAGTGAATGAGTGGGGGTGAGTGAGTGAATGAGTGGTTGGGTGGGTGGGTGGGTGAGTGAATGAATGGGTAAGTGAATGAGTGGGCAAATGAATGAGTGGGTGAGTGAATGAGTGGGTTAGTGGGTGTGTGGGTGAGTGAGTGAATGAGTGGGTGAGTAAGTGGGTGAATGAGTGGGTGGGTAAGTAGGTGTGTGGGTGGGTGAGTGGGTGGATGGGTGAGTGAATGAGTGGGTGAGTGAATTAGTGGGGGTGAGTGAGTGAATGAGTGGGTGGATGGGTGAGTGAATGAGTGGGTAAGTTAATGAGTGGGTAAATTAATGAGTGGGTGAGTGAATGAGTGGGTGAGTGGGTGTGTGGGCGGGTGAGTGAATGAGTGGGTGAGTGAATGAGTGGGTGGGTGAGTGATTGATTGAGTGAGTGAATGGGTGAATGAGTGGGCAAGTGCGTGAGTGAATGAATGTGTGCATGAGCGCGTGGGTGAGATGAGTGAATGAGTGGGTGAGTGAGTGGATGAGTGAGTTAGTGAATAAGTGAGTGGGTTAATTAGTGAGTCAGTGAGTTAGTGTGTGAGTGAATGAGTGAGATAATAAGTGAGTGGGTGAGTAGATGAGTTGTTTAATTGGTGAATAGGTGAGTGTGTGAATGAGTGGGTGGGTGATTGAGTGAATGAATGAATGAGTGCTTGAGTGAATGAGTGAGTTTCAAGTTTATTGCGTTTCACCAGGTGGAAAACTCAAGATAGCAGGTATAGGAGACGTATTTGCAAGAGTGGTCTGGGTTATTGGCTTAAGAACAATAAAGGACACCAATGACAGCGAATAGAAATGGAAGCAAAAACAACAGTTTCACATTAGATTTCGAAACCACTGCACGAAGGTGAATCAATGTTAAATAATAACATTCCATGCAGCGTGAGTCTGCAAAGGGCAATCATGTTTAGATTGATCATTGCTAAAATAACAATGAAGTTACAGAAACATGAAACAGATATAGGGTGCATAATATTCAAATTATAAACCAAAAAGTTAACACAACCCATTTCCAGGTTCCAATTGAAAACGTGTCACGCATTCAGGTTGGAAATCCCCCACGGCCTTGCGTTGGCGGATGGAGGCCTTCATGCAGCTGTGGACTTAGAAACGACTGGAATGAGTGTTATACACTTTAAACACCGCTGCCTCGGTGTAACACGTATAGGCGTTCGCGACCAATATCATCCATAATATGGGTTAGATCGTGTAAAGGTGTCGTTAAACCCGCCACAGCCAATTAGTAAGGTTTGTCACAGAACATGGCAATTCGTTACTAGTGTAGTGACTCACTCAGAGACACTAGGAATAGGAGGCACTCTATTTATTAACAGCCTTCACAAGTTACAAGGGATCACAACAACTCTCAGTCAGGACAGCTGACAGACTGCCTCACTGACGACACCGAGAAGCAGAGATCCCAACCGGGTACCCGATACCCCTGGCTACCTGTACCCGGCCGGGTATGGGTACCCGCTTGCGACCCTGGTGCGGCCGGGTACGGGTACGGGTAGTCCGTGAGTCACTGGTGAGTAACTGTTTGTCACTAAATTCCCAACGTCTTGTCTCTTCTCACAATTCAAGTTCCTAGAAACAACCCACCCGCGCCTGCAACATGGCTTCATCCCAGAGGTCACAATCAGGTACCGGATACCCGTACCCAGCCGGGTACGGGTAGCGTACCCGGCCGGGTAGGGGTAGGGTACGGGTACGGCCGGGTACGGGTACGGGTACCCGTTTGCGACCCTGGTGCGGCCGGGTACGGGTACGGGTAAGGAATCAAAACCCGTTTGCGACCTCTGCCGAGAAGGTGAAGATGGTGACGAAGACTCCAGCAGCACGGCGGGATCCCACTCCAATCAACAGCCCCGAGCCTTCGCTTAGGGTCCCCTTTTATCCTCCTGGCGTGACCTCGCTCCGCACTGGCCAAGCCCCCCTTCCAGAACCTACTAGTGGGTTCCCGGGATCACCTCACATGCCCCCTCTGTCACCTTTCCCCTACATCCCTCTCTCTGCTTATCACGTGACCTGCTGACAGATAGGGCAGCTGCAACTGCAGATTCCCCTTCTCTGCCAGCCACCTGCACTATGCTACGTAGTGACCCATTCAATGTCACTACACTAGTACAGCACACCAGTGTGTTGGAGAGTAAATCCACAACATTTAAAATCTGATTACGAGGTTTCGCCAGTAATTACAATCGGCATCATCAGGTGACGGCCAAAAAAACCAGACGCAATGATGATATTGGTCGTGAAAGATATAGGGTCACTAATATACCCATTACCTCCCGTGGCTACTGGTCCCTTCGAACTCACAACTAATACCCCTGTTATTACCTCCCGTAGCCACCAGTCCCTTCGCACTCACAACTGACTCCCCTGTCATTACCTCCCGTGACCACCAGTCCCTTCACACTCACAACTGACTCCCCTGTCATTACCTCCCGTGGCCACCAGTCCCTTCACACTCACAACTGACTCCCCTGTCATTACCTCCCGTGGTCACCAGTCCCTTCACACTCACAACTGACACCCCTGTCATTACCTCCCGTAGCCACCAGTCCCTTCGCACTCACAACTGATACCCCTGTCATAACCTCCCGTAGCCACCAGTCCCTTCACACTCACAACTGACTCCCCTGTCATTACCTCCCGTGACCACCAGTCCCTTCGCACTCACAACTGATACCCCTGTCATTACCTCCCGTGGCCACTAGTCCCTTCACACTAACAACTGATACCTCTGTCATTATCTCCCGCGACCACCAGTCCCTTCACACTCACAACTGACTCCCCTGTCATTACATCCCGTCGCTACAGTACTAATAATTCGGTGACAAAGGGACGAGACCACAATGCAATAGGGTTACCCACAATAGTGAGGGTGGTCACGTGACGTCACTACCACGCCCACGGCGCGACCTCGCTCTGCCTTCTGCCCTGACTCTTGTCCAATCGGTGTCTCAATCGCGCTCCCCGTCCCTCACTCACGATCCCCTCGTTTGGCTACGCTCACTCAGCATCGCCCCTCCCCCTCCGGAGGTGACAGATGGGCTGTTCTGTGAACTTAATACAGGTTTGAACAATGTTCCACACTGCCCACCAGGGATTTTTTGTCTGTCTATTTGTCTGACTGTCTGTCTGTCTGACTGTCTGTCGTGCATAAATAAATATATAACGTAATCAGCTCTTTGATTGGTGGAGACCTACTGCCGGGTACGGAGAGGGGAGGTGCCTAAGGGAGGAGGGTCAGGGGAGGGGCCTAAGGAAGGGGGGAGTCAGGAGAGGGGCCTGAGGGGGAAGTCAGGGGAGGGGCCTAAGGATATGGGGGGGGGGGGGGTCAGGGGAGGGGCCTAAGTGAGGGGGTAAGGGGAGGGCCTAAGCAAGGGGGAGGGGCCGATAGTTGAGGGGGCTGGCTACCTGACTGGCTGCCTGGCTACCTAAAGTCAAGTTATCTTTTATACATACTCTTAGGTTTTTCGGTAAAGTCACGTAGGTAAAAAATAAATAATCTTTTATACAGGTAGGAACAACAGGTTCCACACTGCCCACCAGGGATTATTTGTCTGTCGTGCATATTTGTCTGTTGTGTACGAATGCGCTGTCCAACCAAGTTCCTACCTGCCCACTCCGAAGGAACGTGTTCACTGATAAAATTTGATCTTTTTGTGCCAGTATCGCGAAAACCCACGTGTAAAATTTACAACCTGAGTTCGACGTTTCGCCAGTAATTACAACCGGCATCACCAGGGGGGCAGTCAGCTTTGTTCCTTAAACAGAGGGGGATAGATGTGATGACATCACTTGTGAACCCGTAATTATGAATGCATATAAATTACAATGGGTATCCATTGCACGGTTGGGTTATTCTATATTCTCATTTTTTTCACACAATCACTGCCACCTGCTGGTCACGCTGGCTCAAGATCACGCTGGCGCGACTCGTCAGGGACCAATTCTAAGCAGAGGTCGCAACCGGGGACCCGATACCCGCACCCTACCCGATACCCGGCTACCCGGGTACGGGTACCCGTTTGCGACCCTGGTGCAGCCGGGTACGGG